TGTACATCCTCTGGTCTAGCTCAATATTCTTATTCACACTATAACAACTCTCTGAGATAGGTAGCAGAACAGATTCTTATTTCCTAAGAGAAACCTGAAACTTGAGAGACTTTCTTAAGCATACACACACACACACACACCTACACAAACCTACTCACTTACACCTACCCAACCCCTGTTAGGAGTAGAAGAGCTTTAATATATGATTTTCCTTTACCTATAGAGATGGTTGTAACTCATTTAGGAATAGAATAAATCAAGCACAGGTAGCTAATACCAAGAAAGAAAGTCCTCTCTGATCCAAAATATTTACCTTTCTTCCTTTGCCCCTTCTCTTCTTTATAGAAACAATTGGAAGATTCATCTGGTTTGTAAAACTTTATTCTTAAAATATAAAATTTTCTTTGTGAGGTTTAGTCATATCAGACTCCTTCCTTCCTCCCTCCCTCCCTTCCTTCCTAAAAGCAGTTACTGTTTTACTAACTGACCAGATTACAAAAAATAACCAATGCGGTTACTTTAGTTCATCGTTCTAATAAGCCTGTTGTTCTGGTCTTACCTATTGCCAGCATCTCCACCTTCTACAAAATGGGTGGTCTTTGTCTTCATCCCATTTTGTAGAGAAGATAATTTGAAGGGTCACAGGAAGTTATTTGCTGCTTTGAAGCATTTCCCAGCATTATAGATCTCATAAATCAGATCCTCTATGCAGATGATGCCATATTTACCAAGAGTTCATGCAGTCAAAGTGTGATCTGTCAGGGTAATACACTTGTTGATTTTTCCATTACCACGCTTGTAGATCAGTTCATCCAAGGACTTCAGGTTTGGGTAGCCTCATGCAATGTGCTTCCACAATCCTGAGCATTTTAATTGAACCCTTGTTAAGCTTAACATAGGTACCATTGAAAATCTGGTGAAGGCGAAGAAGGTGCAACACTTTTCAAACCTTTGTTTGGGTTCATACCATTGATATCTCTGGTCCTGCTAACAAATGCCAGCATGGATTCGCTAGGTACATAGAAGTTGGTAGTTTTCTTGCCATCTTAGCCATTATAATATATGTTCTGTACATCTACCTATATTCCTTGCGATAGTGCTTAGCTTTCTCATGGATAAGCTTCCTTCTTGACTTTTGAAGCATCTTTTGGGCAAACTTCTTTCTCACATTCTTAATCTTTAGTTCTATGAAATTCCTACACTTTTTCTTAAGGGTATCTGGAGCAGTAGGGGCCTTCTTTTTCTTCTCTGCAACACCCTCCATGATTCCAGCCAGTTAAAAAGTGTCTATGTAATTCAAAAATAGTTAAATACAATTTATGTCCCTTTAGTTTATGTAGACTTTTTAAAAACCTCTATTCTCTTATTTGATCTTTTACCGATAATAAAATTGAGATTCGGAAATTAAATTACGTACAAGATTAATAGCTGATCTTTGACTAGTGTCTAGGTATATGTGTTATTGTACTCGTTAGAAATTATGTAAGTCAATTATTTAACATACCAGATACTCAAATATTTGTAAGCTATTTATATATAAAGATATATTAGAAAATATATCTAAAAGCATCCTTATTAAAGAAATAAATAGGAGAAATGCGTGATGATCTTGTATAAGATATCTGAGAATTGTAAGAAGGAGTATTTGCAGAGGCTCAAAACTAAGCTGCTTTGTTAATTCTGAGAATTACAATGAAGGCCCTATATACCATTTCCTCATAGCCCAGTTTCTTAAATCAATGACTGTCTCCTCTAGGGATACTGTAAGCAGCTTTGAGTGCCAAATTTCCTCTTGTTTAATTTATTGGAGTTTATTCTATGTATCTTCAGTTTGGGGGAGATGCTGGAGTTTTTCTCTGAATTCCAAATATGACCCTGAAGAGAATATTCATAATATAATTTAATGTATTTATCTCTTTCATTTTTTAGGAAAGAGAGAATTACCAAAGATGTCTTCAAATTTACCTGATGGAACACTCAAAAAGAGATCAGCTTTTGAAGATCTCACCAATGTATGTTAGTCCAATCTTTTGAAGTGGTTTTATATAAAACTTAGCCTCTTTCTTGAGAGACATGTCCTGTTTACCATACCTTCTCTGGAATGTTGACAGGAATTTTCATTTAAAATTAATAATTCAATGTTAGAACCTACATGGGTTCTTCTACTGGCACATCTGAGTCGGTGGTTTAACTTTCTTGAAGCAGCAGACAGAATGATTATCAGATATGAAATGATATCTAATTAGAAAAACTATGGCATATTTAGATAAACTCCAGAGATGTACAGTAAACTATTTAGAGTTTAGAGGTAAGTGATTTAGTGGAATCATTGTAGTCTTGGCAATGCTTATCAATTTGATCAATATGTACATTTGGGGAAGAATAAATTTTCCTTTGTGTAGGGCTGACCTCAATCAGCATATCTGTGCTCAGACATTAAATTTCAGCATCACCCCAGCACAAGGACAATAAAAAATATCCCCTACAGTACAGTATTATTTAAAACCCAAATTCCACACTCTTGTCTTCAAGTATGAAGATCTAGAAACTAAATGTTGACTTAGATTTTTTTATTTACCTGCAAGTCATCTCCCTTCTGACATTATTAAGGTACAGTTAAAATTGGGATCAATTGTTAGATGGTTAGAAGATAATAACAATCTATCATGTGCTAGGTACAATTCTTAGCACTTTTGCCTGTATTAACTTACTTAATTCACATGTAACCTATAAGGTAGGCACTATGATTATCTCCATTTCATAGATAAAGAGCTTATTCAAGGTTGATTTTGAAATATTTTATCTAGGATTCTGCCAGGCTATTCCTGCCCTCCATGATACAACGCACTTCTGTGTCTACGAAAATACGTGTGTCTGTGCGTGTGCGCGCTATGGGTGAAAGTTCATAGGGCAAAATGTTTTTCTGTTCAACAATTTATACACATTTTGTCTTTTAACATTGGTTTTAATCCCCTGAATATAACCGCACTCTTCCCACTTCTTCCTTGGGTTTCTGACACCCATTGGTCCTTATTCCCTTATTGATTTCTGAGCTTTGTTTTAGAACAGGGGTGCTCAATACGTCAGTCGCGTACTAGTTGTTCGCAAATGTAGTGTGGGTAGATCGCATGGCATTAAAAAATAGACATAAGCCTATCATCAATCCCGTCACTTAATTGATATGCAGCACAGCCAGTCAGCTGCAATCTTAGGTGTCAAACGCATGCGCAAATAGCTGTGCTAAGTGCAGCAAAACTGACAAAATAAGTTATTCGCCTCTACTTATTTATGTGAGCCAGCCTTTTCCCACATAAAGATCATTAAGTCCAAGTACCGTTCCGCCTTGACTGATGATCATTTGGAAGTGTGCTTGAGGCTAGCTGTCAGCAGCTACTGTCTGGATTATGCATCCCTGGCTTATTGCATTTACTGTAAGCCATCAGAGTAAACTCAGGTAATGACAAAAAATGTACATAGTTCATTGTGTTGTGTTGCGCAATGTGGACTCATGGTTGTGCAAGGTACATAAACGTACATTGTACATATAAAGAATTCTCAATGCATTTATGAATAAATAAAAAATAAATAAATATATGCTTTGCATTTTTGTAGTTGGTAGATCATTTGGACTTGATCATTTTATAAGTAACTCACATGCTGAAAAAGTGTGAGCCTCCCTGGTTTTGAAGAAATATGATCCTTTTGGTCTGGTCTGGTTAATTGTTCTGAGGAGTGCATTCCTCATGAATGTTATTATTAACTTTATAGACCTAGTTGTTGTTTGGCAGTAATGAGATCCCTGGCTGTAGGTTCAGTTCCAAATTTGAAAGATGTCTAAAGGCCACGTTCCCAGACATCTACACCAGTTTACCAGAATCCTTTTATCCCTTGGATAATGCTTGAGCAGTACTGGATAACTATTGGCAAATTTATCTGCTATGTATCCCCACATCTATAAGGTTAAACTCATTTCCTAACTTATTTAACCAAAGGTCTAGAAAATTGGATGAAATAAGGTAGCTGTATAAATTAGGAGCAGATA